AGACTGAAAACCAGCTGGGCAAACTCCAAACTCTGAATCAAATGTCTGATACCAAAACACTATTCAGATTTCCAATTCCTTTCAGCTTTGTTGACTGCAACACACTTCCTTCTCTTGGGCTGGTTCCACTCCCTGCTAGTCCCTGGTCTCAGAGACTTTCCTTAGTCATAGAGGCAAATTCCATAGCCCCTTTCTTCTATCCTTAACTCTAAAGCCAGAACCACATGTCCAAAGCTGACAATGTCTGCTGTTTACTAGGGCAGGAACGTGGCCCCATTATTCAATTACATCTTCACCAGTTTTCTGTTTTTGATGCTTACTACCTTTACTGCCTAAGTTTGGCTGTCCTTGAACTCACTCTGTAGACTAGGCTGGCCTCAAACTCAGAGATCTGCCATCCTCTGCCTTCCAAGTACTAGGATTAAAGGCGTGCACCACCACATCCAGCTCCAAGCTTTTCTTTCCTCTTCACAAGTTGGGAACTTAGCTGGGTGGGATCTTGTACTGAGGTCACCACTCCCTTTATTCCATTTCTTAATCTGCTTATCTCCTCGAACACAGGACTTAGCTCGATTCTACTTCCTGGTGCGCCTTTTCTCCTCAAATTGTTCTACATCTTTTATTTTTACTTGCTCAGGTTGCTCCTTATCACTATAAATCTTCATTAGAGTTACCACTAACAACCACATGACAGAGTCTATATTAGGCTGTTTTGAGATTTATTCTGCCAATGAAATTAATCTAAAACTCTTCACTTTAGCCTTAGGCAGACTCTTCAGACAAGGGCAAAAAGCAGTCACATTCTTCACCAAGATGTCACAAGAATGATCTCTAGGCCACATATCAAAATTCTTCTCCTTTGAAACCTCTAGTCAGGCCCCCACAGCTCATCAAATGACACTCAGCACCACTGTCTTCTATGCTCCTACTACTCTGGCCCATTAAGCAGCACTTAAATTATTCAACTGCTTTTCTAATCCACAGTCCCAAGGTCCCTAGTCCTTCAAACAAAAGCATCATCAGGCCTATCACAGCAATACCCCACTGCTGGTACCAACTTCTGTCTTAGTTATGGTTTCTGTGGCTGTGAAGGGACATCATGACCACAGCAACTCTCATGAAGGAAAACATTTAATGGGTTGGCTTGCTTACAGTTTAGAGGTTTAGCCCATTATCATCATGGTAAGAAGCAAGGCAGCATACAGACAGACATGGTGCTGGAGAAGTAGCTGAAAGTCCTTACATCCTGACCCACAGGCAACAGGAAGTGGTCTGAAATACTGGGTGTGGTCTGAGCATATATGAGACCTCAAAGCCCACCTCCAGAGTGACATACTTCCTCCAACAAGACCATACCTATTCCAACAAGGCCATACCTCCCAATGTGTCATTCCCTATGAGCTTATGAGAGGCAATTACATTCAAATTACCATCAGTGATAATGTTAGTATATCTGTAACTTGTATCTCCTTTTGTAAACTAAAAATTCATGTAAACTTCAAGTAGTCAAAGAAGTCGTAAGATTTGGATGCACCGGTCACAAGCCAAACAGACTCTAGATAAGTACAGCCTTAAGTTTCTCTATCAGACTATTCCTGAGGGTAGGTTCTCTTCCCTGGTCTTCCCCCAATTACTAGGACTATGGGCCTGAAAGTTCTAAATGTAATATTTTCCTTTAAGTTCCTAAATTTTAACTTCTGTCCCTAGTTTGTATTTGTCTCAGCATATTTCCACTTGGCTGACAGACACCATCCATGCATCACCTGCGGACTGCAAGCTGCTGAGCTCTGGACTTGCTGAAAGCTGATGTAAACCAGTCTAGCCTATGTGACTGCTCCATGTCTCTTCGGCTGGGTCAGCTAACCAGATGCTTCTGATGAATACCCCATTGCCCAGCCTTTGACCAGCCTTTCAGCCTTTCTGGGCCCTAGTTTTAGCTAGAAGTAATTACAGAAGAGAGTATACCATCCCTTGCTCCCACAACAGGTTGAAATGCCAAGTCAAAAGGAAACTCTCTGGCATGGGGGGAAATGGCTACCTATAATGCCAACTGGCATACCAAGAAAATGGGCCCAGATTTATCAACAGGTAGATTTGTTAACTGAAATAGTTCTATAGTATGGTAGTACACTTGGCCTGCTTTATGCAGAACAAAGTGGTATTATATGGTTTTAAGAGAAAATTATTATTTCCATACAAACCATTCAGGATTATAATCTGGCTGTACTCAAAGAAATATTACAAAAAGGGGAACTGAGATGAAATAAATGCATGATGCCCCATCCATTTCCAGATTCCTGCTAGATAGTAACTCTGATATCAGCCATCACAGGGCCTTTGGGCCTCCTGCTTCTGTTAATTACTGTTAGCTCTTATATTAGTAATACAATAACAAAATGAAAATTCCTATCTAGGTACCATTAAATTGATGATTTAGATCCCAATATAAACAATACCATTGCAGAGTTAAGGATTTAATTCAGGATAAAACTCAAAGGAGTAATTTAATAGCCAAAGTTAATCTGTAAGCCCCACCTGCCTAAAGAACAGATAACTTTCTGGAATGCTGGAGGTTGTAGTTCTTAGAAAATGACAAAGCCACATGGGAAATATGGCGGCCATATGAGTTTGTCCTTAAAAAGCCCCTACAATACATGTCTTGTCACCACTCCCTGGGATTCCGGAGAGTGGACCTGACCAGTGTCTATCCTGGTCAGTATTTAATTAAAGCTTGCTTCAAATTTGGCTCAAAATTATGGAACTAGTTTTTGCTCTTGTGACTCTCAGGATTAACGGGAGGAATTTGACACAAGCTCCCATCCCTAACCGAAAAGCTGTCTCCAACTGACATCTACTTGCAAAGAAAAAATTAGTTTTCTCCAATGGAGTCTCACTGGGTATATTAATCACACTTAAGGGTAGGCCCTGGGCTCAGCAGTAGATGGCTAACACAAAAGGAATCTTTTTGTCTCATATTGCTCTGTTTAGGCATTTTTTTTTTTTTGTCTTACTGGTTTTTGTTTGTGTGATATGGTTTCTAATTTTGTGTTTTTAAGGATTTTGTTTTTGTGTGTTTCTTGTTATTTCTTTTTTTAAAAATTCTGATTTGTTTCATTGGTTTTCTGTTTGTTTTCTAAAGAGAGCAAGGGTGTGCCTGAAGTTTGGTGGGTGGGGAGGTAGGGAGGGTCTGGTAGGAGCTGGGGGAGAGAAAACCATGATCAGAGTATACTGTATGCTAAAAAGAATTGTCAATAAAAAAATAAGTAAATAGTTGGGCAGTGGTGGCACACACCTTTAATCCCAGCACTCGGGAGGCAAAGGCACACGGATTTCTGTGAGTTCGAGGCCAGCCTGGTCTACAGAGTGAGTTCCAAAACAGCCAGGGCTACACAGAGAAACCTTGTCTTGAAAAACAAACAAACAAAGAAAAAGTAAATAAATAATTTTAAAATAAAGAACTTAAAGTTCTTTAAAACAAAGAACTTTAAAATAAAATACTAGACTGGACAACTTACCACTCAGTCAGGAAAGTCTGATGGTGAGTGGCATGCACTAGGCATCCTTGTGTTACAGCGATCACTGTTCAGTTTGGTTATTGTCACAACCCATCAAGACTACTGCAGAATGTGTCAGAAAAGACGCCTGAGAGTAAGTTCTTAGACTGACATGTTACGCCATATCCAGACTTCCCTTTTCTTAATGAAAGACCAGAAGCCTACGTTTTCTACACCAGCACAGGGGCTAGCTGGCCTTAAGTGATTAAGGTTCCCTATTCCCTTATCTAGGAAATGGGCTAAGTACAGCACCATGGGGGAAAAGGATTCTGGGATGAGAGTACAGCTTAGTGGTAAGGTGAACACTTAGTGAATGTGGGGACCTGGCTCAATCGCCCATATCACCAAAGAAAAACAAGGGTTTGGGTATCTCCTCATCACTCCTTCACAGACATATGAACTTCAGTTACTGAATCACTGTTCCCTCACCTGAACCTATATCTGTTTCATGGGTTTTTTTTTTTAATGAATTAAATCATGGTAATTGTAGAGAAAAAAAAACTGAAAAACTTCTCAGCAAATTCAGTCTATATGATTTTATAGCTTTTTTGTAATGCTAATCTTTCAGACAATTTAGTAAGAATATATCTACATATACATATGTAGATATAGGCATAATTATATTAATGAACAAATAAGTGTCTAGCATGTGGTAGTTGCTCAAAGAAAAATAATATTATAATTCCTCATGTTTTACACAATTTTTATAAAAGGATACATTATTTTCAAGTGAAGTTAATAGAGTGCAAAATACTTTATTTACTCATTCATGCCTATATTATAATGTGGAACACCCAGCACTGATGCTGAGGAGATGGGGGTGGGCTTTGCCCATCAAGAGTTTCCATCATCTCCCTTTTAACCAGCCCTCACAAGTACACAGTAAGTAAAAACAGCTTAAAGACACATCCCTAAGCCATCCCTAAACCATATGCCATCCTCTACCCTTGCAAGCTGACTGCCACCTCAAAGCCTGTCCTGTGGTGAATTTCTGGAACTACCCCTGGAGGGCGGCTGAAAACACCAGGAAAGGTATATTAAAGTGACATGCATGAAGGAAGTCTGGAATAATTGTGCCTTTTAGACGCCCATCCACAATTGCGCTCAGATATTATAAATGCCGTGTCTCTCGACAGATGGCATTTTCCGGTGGGGAAATGAAAGGAGACCCAGTTCTCCTCAAACACTTCAGCACGTGTAGCGTTCCAGGCGGACCCTGCATTCCTTCATCACAGACACCTCTGGCATCTTCCCCTAACATGGTTCTGAGCATGACTTTCAGAACTTTGATTATGGGGGCTTGAGTGCCAGCCTGTCACAGGAAACAAATTGGGTGCTTTTTAATGGCCAAGTTCCAAAACGAGTAAATGGCTTTTATCAAGTTATTACATAATTCTCACTAAAAAAGACAAAAAGTAAAAATTAAAAATTAAAAAAAAAAAGTACCTTGGTACTGAAGCTACCGTGACGAACTTAGCTAGTTTGCAAGGGGCTCTTCCAGGTTAGCATTGCCAAGTTCACTGTCCCAGGCACACCAGGGCTGCTGGTCACACTAGACAAAGCCAAGATGGTAAAATAAAAACCAGTGTATATCAGTGTGGTGATATATTGTGTACCCTAATAAAATTTGCCTGAAGATCAGAGAACAGAACAAGCCACTAGATTAAACACAGAGGCCAGGCAGTGGTGGCACACACCTTTAATCCTAGTACTCAGGAGGCAGAGCTCTTTCTGGATCTCTGTGAGTTCAAAGCCACCTTGGACTACATGAGATTGACTCAATCTATGAGAGAAAACAGAGCCAGGCAGTAATGGCACACACCTTTAATCCCAGTACTGGGAAGCACACACTCCATTAATCCCAGGAAGTGATGGCTGGGCAGAGAAAGGTATTAAGGTGTGAGGAGACAGGAACTAAAGGCTTTTTGGCAAAAGCATCCCTTCCAGCTAGAGGGTTGTTCAGGCCGAGGAGTCCTAGAGGTAAGAGGTGGCTGTGGCTTGTTCCTTTGTCTCTCTGATCTTTCAGCATTTACCCCAATATCTGACTCTGGGTTTTTTATTAAGACCATTTAGAAATTCAAGCAACATATTGGTTCTGGGTTCTTCTGTTATTCATGCTTAGCTCTAAATAGAGATTAGGGGGCTTACATCTCAGGTGCCTCACAGGGAGAGATCATATTATTTTGGTAAATAATTCTGAAATTCAGGGGCTCCGACTTTGAAAAGAGGAACCAAGTGTGCCTTCAGCTGAGGCTTTTATTAGTGAAAATAAATGTTTTAAATGAGAAATTTCAAGAATTCAAGCCACTGAGCTCGGCTGCCCACCTCTTTCTTCCTGTTTGATCTTTGAAGATTAGCATTCGGTACTTTTCGTGACATTTATATTGAGGAAGGAATATAAGATTATTAAAAGCAGAGGAACTCAATATTGGGAACGCACATCAAAAGGTCTTCATGACAAAGAAGAGATCATCTGATGTGAAACCCGTGACTAGAAGCATGTGTGCTGTACTTACTTTCTGGTTAACAGCGTAACAGACGTCAAAATATGATTTAAAACACTTCTCGCAGCTGAGCTGACATTTGGCGGTCCTCCACCTTCTTTTGCTCTTGAGGATGGGGCTTCAAATCCAAACGAGGTTAACACTTTGTACTGGGACATATTCCTGGTGGATGAGGAAAACAGTCTTTTTGTTGAAGTAAAATGAAAACATCTGTTCAGGTCCCTAGGGAAAGACTTATTTTTACAAAGAAGGGGGGATGGGGATGGTAATGCCTGGTTTCAAAGCTGGAGACAGCTTCAGTAACATTGCATACGTCAAACAATTATACTGTCTGTTGCCTGGCTCACCAAGGATGATGAAAATTTGTATGTGAGCTGGAGCTGATCTTGAATTTTAAAGATTGCTCCTCCATATTTATCTCCTTACCTTGTCCAAAGTCATGTGGGAAGAGCTATTCACTGGTTTCAAGTTCTTTTCACAGTACAGCAGGATAAACACAGGTCAGTAAGGGACCAGTTTTCCATGATATGCTGTGTCTTGATCAGCAACTGTGTCCTCTGGATAGATGTTATATTTGTTTGATATTGATGCAATCAATATGAAATAGAGTTGAGCATCCCTGATTGAAAAATCTAAAATGTGAAGGGCTTCAAAATCTGAAACTTCTGAGTTGCTAGCCTGAAGTTCAATTTCAGATCTTGGTGCATTTTGGACTTCAGATTATGGGGGCTAGAAGTGCTTGACCAGCAAAGAATGTATTAATGTTCCAAAATCAGAAAAACTTGGAAAACATTTCCAGTCCTAAGAATTTCAGATGAAGCATATGCAAACTGCATATAATTTAGCATCTCAACACAGCATCCATTGATCTATCAACCAGATCCAGGCACGGCTTTACGTCATTATCTGCCCAGGGTCTCAGAGGGTGTTGGCTGCTATGATTTGGAACTCAAGTCTCCTTCCGAGCTCATGGAATTGTGACAGAACCCCATGTCTTGCAGATGGTGGGCAGATACTCTGATTCTCTTGTTGCTGCTGGTCAGTTGCTCCTTGCAACTCTTGGATGCTAGCCGCACTATCACATGGCCTATTCCATTTTCAGTGCTAAAAACAGAATCAATCTGCCCTGTGTGGATTCCCTTGATTTTCTGAACCACTGATTTTTAGAATATCCCAGTCCCATTAGGGCTCACCTGAGTCAATTAGGTTCACACCACAAAATTTCCTCCTCTCAAAAGCAAATGTCCCACTTAACCATAGAACAAAACCCATCATGTTCACAACCCTGAAGATCCACAGGGATTGTGTATATGTGTGTCTGTCTGTCTGCCTATGTCGGTGTGTCTGTGCCTTTCGTAAAAGTAAAATACAAATCTCACCTTTCAAACTTTTAGGCCCATTTTTACGAGGCAAAGATGAGTGTGAAACTCTGAGAAGGCCTTAAGACTTGCTTAAATCTCCTTTCTACCCGGCGGGATGAAAATTCTAAAATATAACATAATTAACGATTTCCCAATGGCTAAGCATTTTGAGCAATATATAGGATAATGCATCTAATAATATATAAGTTTATAAGTTACAGAAGTTAAAGGCAATTCTTAATTAATGGATAATGTGCAATCAAAACACTCCTTTCATTCCAAATTGGAGGTGGGCATTGTTTCACACAAGTCTGCCTTTTCTGGATGGGCAATTTAGTGGGAGAGATGCCCAGAAAGCTGACAGGATAGTCCCACCTGCTCTTTCTGCTCCACAGTCAGCCTCTAGGCTTCTGCCAAGACCTAGCCCCCTACCTGCAACTGCCCACAGGCCCCATTCAATACCAAAACTTCTCACATCCTCCCCCCGCCAAGGTCTAGCCTGGTGAGTACCCCTTACCATTCAAATACTCATTTTTCCACAAACCACCAGATTTAGCCCATATCCAGTACGTGGCCTTTCTGCCTTCATTGCAGGGGAGCTCAAGGCTTGGGTCAAGCACCTCCTTAACTATCTGCCAAACCACAGGACTCTCCCACATCATATCCAAACTTTCCCCTCAGACCTCTCTATCCTCACACTCCCAGCTTGGAATATCCTGTAAACCAGGCCAGCCCCTCTGTCCACCTGACTTCATTCCACTGAGCCATTTCCAACCTCTAGACCCAAAAAAACTTCTTTTCCCACACCATGTTTTATTCATAACAAACTCAAAACTAACAAAGGAAGTTCATGTGCCCAGATTTCATTGCAAGAATATGACTATGAAAGGTCAAGCCAGCATCTTCTCTCCAAAAACCTACCAGTCCCATAGAAATGCTTGCCAACGAGAACTACCTAGATGAACCCTAGGACACAGAATGTAAAAGAATCATAATCCTCATCAAAGAATGCAAGGACTTTAAAGAAATCGATCAATGAAACCAAGGAGAAACAACTTAGGGAAAGTAAACACCTGAATGATACCAAAACCAACAAACAAACAACACAAACATAAGGCTGCTGGGAACGAAAAACAATCCAAGATGAGAATGGAATTCAATCAGGAGATAGAAACATGGAAGAGGATCTAAGCTGAAATGAAGACAGGATTGAAAAAGCCAATATCCCAACTAGGAAACTCTAAGAAAGCCTTACAAGTAGAGTGAACCAGACAGAAGACAGCATATCAAGTCTCAAGGAGAAGAGACAGGGCTACACCAGTGGTTCTCAACATGTGGGTCTCGACCCCTGGGGTTGAATGACCTTCCACAGGGGTTGCCTAAGACCACCGGAAAACACATGTGTCTGATGGTCTTAGGAACTGAGACTGCTGTGGATGATTGATTGAGTGATAAATAAAACACTGGCCAGTAGCCAGGCAGGAAGTATAGGCAGGACTAGCAGAGAGGAGAATTGAGAGAACAGGAAGGCAGAGAGGAGGGAGACGCCAGTCGGCCATCCAGAGATCATGTAAAGGCAGCAGGTAAAGCCATGAAACACGTGACGACATATAGATTAACAAAAATGGACTGAGTATAAGAGTAAGAGCTAAACAATGATAGGCCTGAGCTAATGACCAAGCAGTTTAAATAATATAAACGTCTATATGTTTATTTTATAAGTGGGCTATAGGACTGCCAGGGCTTGGCGGAACCTGGAGAGAAAAACTCTAGCTACATGAGACACTGCTCCTCTATCCATCTCCAGGTGGGTCTGCTGTCCACATGCAGATAAACACACATATGAGTACCCAGCATAATGACATCATCACATCAAACCCATGACAGACACCCCAAACAAATACAGTTGTATGTGATAGGGTTGGCACCATAATGTACTTACGCAGACCACTCACAGGTGTGTAGAAAGCAGCAGTATTAGAGGTAAGATGACACTTCATGAATTATATTTACTGGGTAAATGTAAAATCATGTACTGTAAATATATATGTGTGTGTGTGTGAGAGAGAGAGAGAGAGAGAGAGAGAGAGAGAGAGAGAGAGAGAGAGAGAGAGAGAGAGAGAGAAACCATGGAAACTTAATGTGATCACTTTTATATTTAGCTGTGGTTGATGTGAATACTGCCCCCTTGTGATAGTAATTGGTATGTAAAAAACAACAGAACAGTGAATCACAGGAAACATTAATGAACTGTGTTGACTGAACTATGCCATTTATCATCTTCTGTATTATTAAAGTTATTGTTATATATCATTTTCATTAGAAAACCATCCTATGACAATGAATCAGGTAGAGAAGAATATAATGTTAAATAAAGAAAATACAGTGAGGATTTTTTGTTTGTTTTTTGAGACAGGGTTTCTTTGTGTAGCCCTGACTGTCCTGGAACTATCTCTGTAAACCAGACTGGCCTCAGACTCACAGAGATCCCCCTGCCTCTGCCTCCCAAATGCTGAGATTAAAGGCATGCACCACCACACCTGGCTATAGTGAGGATTTTTTATGGTATGGTTTTACCTTAATAAGAACAGGAGCAATTATTACAACAAATTGTTTGTTCTGTCAGTGGAATCTATGAAGCCAAACTAAAACATGATTTAATAGCAAGCATCAAGCTTTGCTGGCAAGGATATCAACTATTTTAGAAGCAAAGCTGATGGACTCAATGAAGGGACTCTAGCCTGCCCGAGCATGGCAAACATGGCCCTAGCAGGCCCTGCCCTTCTCCCCCATTCCCTCTGCCTTGATAAGAACCATTAGATTACATTCCTAAAGCTAGCCACCTACCTAGGTCTATTCCCTTACTTGGTCACTTCCTCCCTGACTAACAACGTCTACCTATCATTCAGAACTCAAAAGCCCCATTGGCTGCCCTAGTTAATTTGCCCAATCAAAACAAAACAATTCATCCTAAAATGGGGTTTCCCCCTCTACCTTTATAAACCACCATTTGCCTATGGGCCACATCTGTCTCCTTTCTATCTAAAGGCAATCCTTTGTCCCTAGGGACAAATATCCCTTCCACCTCTCCCTTGTCCCCTTCCCCTTCTCCCTGTCCTTTATCTCCTATCGCTGTCTTTTATTCCCTGCCCTTTGTCCCCCTGGGGCAAATAAATCTCCTTTGTGCTGAGAACTTGGTCTTGGGGTGTCTTGTACTGGATACTGGTCCCTTCACTCAAGAAAGCCAGACTTGACCCTGGTGGTAAGTACCACAAACAAAACAAACAGAGGAGCCATTGAAACTTCATAGTTGGTGGCACTCAGAATCACCAGAGCTATGAAACCTCACACATTGCTGAGGATTACACTGTTCAAGTAATGATTGGAGATAAATTTGTTACCCAACTGAGTGCAATTTCCTTATCTAAGGAACCCTGTCCAGAGCAGAATAGATGACATGTCCATTGGATACTGAGTTTGAGCTCCTGATCTGATATCTTATTATCTGTCTGCTAATTATTTGTTACTCATTAGTTATTCCTTTGCTTGCTACATTGTTTTTTTTTTGTTGTTGTTGCTTTTTTGGTTTTTGTTTTTTGTTTTTTGAGACAGGGTTTCTCTATGTAGCCCTGGCTGTCCTGGAACTAGCTCTGTAGATCAGGTTGGCCTCGAACTCAAGAGATCTGCCTGTCTCTGCCTCCTGAGTGTTGGGATTAAAGGCATGCACCACCAATGCCCAATATCTGCTAATATTCTTGATCAGGTAATCTAGGAAATTAAATCTGTTCCCTTTCCAATATT